GTTGATGTACCTTCTTCTTGTCCAACATCAGAAAATGTACTACATATACCAGATGATGATGTATTTGAACTCAATATACTACAGTGTCCACCAGGATCGGAAAGACTAGAACCATAGCTGAAACTAAATCGTGATGATGTGTCAATAGTAGATGGTGTTGGAGTATTTTCTGAAGAAGAATGCATACGGTGTTGATATTGATTATGATTATTGTTCATATATGAATCTTTGATATAAAATAAATCATTTATATGTGCAGATGCTTTATGTTGGCCAAATAATGGATTATCATTGTAATTATTGTAATTATTAGTATTTGTTGCTATGCTTTTATGAGACATGGGTAAAGGTTAAACAAACTATTTTCTTATTCTCTCGTATGTCACAATGTAGAGTATAAAAATATAAACGTTACTATCGATAGACAAAAATAATAAATAAACCTTCTCGTTGTTACTAAGAAAGAGAGAAAAGAAAATAGAATTGTACACTTACATCTACACCTCTTAGAGGGCTTTTTTCGTAGACTTTACCCCTCAATAAATGAGCTGGATGAGATAGTAGCTGGTAATAGAAAGAGAGAAAAAGGAAAAAATATGTCTTAATCCTATTCATTCAAATAAATCGTGCGAAAAGGAAGAACAAGAGCCCAATTCAATAAGTATCTATGAATCATGGCTTATTGCTTTTTATTTACTAGTGAATTCTATTCTCTAAGCATCATCATGTCAGAGAATACTTTTGTGTCAGTATCTATTTAGGTGCATTCTATGTGTCTCTGACACAACGGTGGAGAATCTGTTGTAAAAAGAGATCATTTCCTCGAACAAGAAAATAACTTGAGGAATTTTTACAGCCTCAATAGTTTTGAACAAACATTCCTAGGCAATAACTTCCAAAAATATTCCTCCGAATGCAATTTTTTTCGAAAATTTCTGCAGACTGAGAAAAAATTTTCGGAATATACATTTTCACATCCAGGCAAATAATTGTATCTCTATTCTAACATGTCAAATATTTATTCGCTTAGCATTTGAAACAAAATATGCACATTTCTTTGACGAATGCATAATATCTATGACGAAAGAAAAAGGCAATACATCAAAACCAGAAAAGAGAAAAATAAAAGAAAGAAAAACATGCATGTAAACATGTAGTATGCATACAAAAATTTTCAATCATTCTCAACGAATGGTAAAAAAACATAATTTTGCCCTCAGAGTGTTGTACTTTGCCTGAGTTTGACTGGTCTATTATTTCTTTAAGGTTATTTGTCTGTTAGAATAGTATATATCAATATATAGAGAATATATATATTTATGACGTAAGGTAATCATAGTTTTTCGTTCCTCATATAAAAAAATTACTCCAAGGTCATGAAATATCAGATACATTACTTTCTATGATCTAAATTGATTAAAATGTAATATTCATTCAAATATTATTGTTTTCATTTGTCGAAATATCAAAAGAAAATCACAATAAAAATACATTACTTCAAATCATTTACCATTAAAAACCAATCTTTGAATTTCATATGTATCTTGATTGATGACTAATAAACTAAACGTATTAAATATTCGAATTGATCATCAAAGTGTATTAAGACTAAATACTTTTATAAACATTAAAATCAATCGCACAATATCCCATTATTTTGATTGAAATTATATACCGTACAGATAGAATGTTCTAGAAATTTCTATATGGTTACGACCAAGAGATTAGACACCTATCTTTGTTGCTCGAAACTTCTAAAGGATTCTCAAAACATATGAACACAAGTCTCAGCGTATCTATAAGATATCATCAAGTGATATATTCGATAAAATCTCACAGAAGAATAATATATTGATACATATATTCAAATAGTAAATAATATGAAAAGCAATCAACATTGCTATTAATGTTTGAAAGATAAGTTTTAAGAAACACATTTAATTTTAAGTGACATCTGCATGACATTGAAAAGCTAAACTCATTGACATCCCAAATAATCTGATTTGAGTGTTTCCGAGTTAAGAAAAAAACAACTAAATTTATCGAACAGCCTATTGATTGGTTCATGAAACACGAAGTAAAAACAATAAATCGAGAAAAATTATAATCAATGATATGAACCATACGATATATTTGGTGACAAATGCAGACAGATATAAGTCCGCCAAAAGAAAACAAGCCTTCAGGCGTACTCATAAAAGACTACTTCATGTTTTTTATCATCTGTTAGTGGCTACTCATAAAGGACGGATAGATTAAAGTCGTAATTTTTTTTGACCACTCTTCCCTTTTTCCAGATTTGTCCAGTTTCATCGAACCCTTCTCCTTGCTGGAGGTCTAGTATAAAGAAGAACCTTCTAGAAAGAGCCTACTTGTTCAAATATATTGCTTCTTGTTTATTAAAGAACAGTTCATTAAATAAATAAATGAAGAATGTGGGTTCTTTTTTGCTGTTTCTTTAATAGAAAGTGAGTCACACAATATTTTGAATTGGAATTTTATATCATAGAAAAGAAATGATGCTCTACACACTGGTAAAACGTGCAAATCAATATGTGTTTTGGTTTGAAATGACAACAATATCAATGTCATCCTGTAGGAGTGGATGCTCAATTGTTATCGCCACTGTAGTTAGCTAGAGTGCGACGAACTGATCAAAAATATGTGCGTTTTCAATTTTTAGAATGAATTTTTAAGAGAAAATTTTCAGTTTTTTCATATGATCTACTTTTTTTGGAAAACAGGTCTATTTTTCATTTCCTTTAAATCTTAAAACTCTATGTTTCCAATTTAGTATAAAAAACTGAATCTAAGAAACTCATTTATAGGACTATTCAGATGTAAAATAATCTTAACTCAGGTATCACAAGGAAGAAGAGTTCAAATTTCGAAGAAGCATTTTGTAATACTATCCATTGGATGTTCCAGAGAAAATGGGACTCTCAATATTGCAATTATATCACTTTTCATATTTGTTTGTTTAGACTTTATTTTTTTTTCAAAAACATTCGTCTTTTAATTCTCTATTTAGTTCTTCAATAGAAATATGTTTAGGCGCTACTTTTTTCCCATTCAGTACAATAACCAACATTCTTTTAAACTGAACGATTCAATGAATTTAAATGTAGATTATTCAATGGTGAATGTTTCTTGCTGATGAAAAGAGAAAAAACTGTTCTGATATCATGATTGTATTAATTCAATGATACAAAGTTTCGCATTGTTCTGATGAAATCTCTAATATATTCCGAAGATTTCATATCCATATTTTATTGGTACTTGAATAGCATTATGTACCTATTGAGTGTGATAAAATGTCTCGTGATTAAAAATGACCATTAGTGCCAGATTGGAAATGTCATCAGGACAATATGAAACTTCAAATCATTGAATTAATACAATCATGATATCAGAACTATTTTTTATCTTTTCATTAAAAAGAAACACTCATCACTGGATAGTTCACATGTAAATTCATTGAACCGTTCAGTTTGAGAGAATTTTGGTTATTGTACTGAATGGGAAAAAAGTAACGCCTAAACATATTCCTATTGTGGGTGTGAGTATTCATGTCAGCCATCCACGACCAGCTTTACCTATTCACACCTACACCAACAATATGAGTTGCTTCAATAGAGAAAAGATGAGAAGAAGAAAGAAATAATTATAGATGTGATAGAATGAAGCCGACGAAAGACAAGAGGACACATCCTTGTGTCAGAAGGCACCTCTTCTGACGTAGCGCTGTCAAAATAATTATATAATTCAATGAACACTTCTAGGAAAAGAAATACAGAGTATGAGTCCACTTGTTCAAAGGTTTGAAGCACTTGCTATTTCACACATTTTTACTATATGCTTCATGATGGGAAACTCTAGTAAAATTTCAAAAGGCAACGATAACTAATATTTTCAAAAAAACTCGTTTTTCCCGATGTCATCATCATCAGTAAATTCTGTGTTAAATCGTGAAAAAGCATCTGAATTCTGATAAATACTATTGTTTTCGAAAATAGACAACTAGGACAACCCAACTGCATAAAAATCTTAAAATGATTTTTTTTTGTGACGAAATTCACAATTTTTGACAGAGAGAGGAGGTAATGTACTCTTAAATTCTCTAAAGGCCCTCTACATAAATTGATGATAGCAACAAAAATAACAAGAACTTTGTGTTTCTAGCATTTGTATTTTATCTAAAGAAAATAATTTAATAAATCTGCATATGACAAATGAATACTGATTGATAAGTTTAAAAAACCTGTCAAACAATAGAGTTATTTTTATCTTATCAAGATATGAAAAGTTGTTTTTGTTCTTCTTTTATTAATTGCTTCATTTATTTCATATCCTATCCATCATTAATATAGAATGTGCAACAGATTCTATTAATCGACTAAAAAACTATATCATTCATCATTTTCATCAACATCAGAGAACCACATCTACGTAAACACGCAAACGAAAAAGTATATATCATACACATGCTAATTAATGTAACGAGAGGATATATACATGTATTTTTGTATACAAGTAGATGTATAGAAAAAACTTGTTGAAATTTGATTACGAGAGAAAAAAAATCAGATGTGCACACTTAGCACGATTGTCAGTGATTGTGGTATTGCGCACATTACTAATTTTCTAGAAAAAAAGGAACATTCCAAACCAGATAAATAGCAGACGACCCATGCATGTGTAGTAATAATATTTTCTTTAATAATTAACTTCACTCACTGGCACGTATATACTAGTAATAGCCAAAAACAACAAAGGGAATAGAAAAACAATAAGAAAGACAAGTCGTATGTTCATAAGCCAAAGACAACAAATGTACAGGAGAAAAATAGTAAAATAGAAAAAAATGTATCACTATGCCGAAAAACAAAAAAAGGAAAGAAAAATATTGATAAGAAAAAATCGATGCACGTTGAACGTGAAACTCGACTTTGAGCGTTATTTACATCATTTTTATTTTAAATTGATTCATATATTTGTTTTTATCGCCTAAAAAAAAAAGAAAATAATTAATAATATAGTAAATATTTTGTTTCAATCTATATATAAAAATAATATTCCTATCACAAAATAATTGATTGTTTTTATTTATCAAATTTATCTTATTGTTTTATATAGTACATTATTAGAGACATCATACAAATTCTTATATGTAAATTGATCAAAGGAATAAACTAATTCTATTCTATTGTTCAAGCACATAATAATTCTGGAACATTATAAGTTATCTTTTGTCGTGCATTAAGTACGTGTATAAAGAGTTTTTTCTAACAAAATATTCATAAAGGGGAATAGAACTTCTTAGTTATGACCATGATCTTTAATTGAAGGATTTGATAAGTACAGATCATGATTTTTCTTCCTTCTCATACATTATTTATTTCCTGATCAGAACTTCGTTCGTTTACTTTATTAATATCTTTCAGATAACTAAAGGTGTTGGTGTGAGTGAAGAAAGCCCTTAACCATACCCTCTTGAAAAGACAAGACAATATATAACTCTGATCATCATCAATAAACCAACAATGATCAATAATTTATGAAAAAAATTTCATAAATAAGATAAGTGCATTAGATTAGTAAGTAGAAAAACATAGGTTTCCTTTAAGATAGGATTCTCATAACTAAGCTTTGTCAGAATGTATACAGATTGACACAGTTTTAATTATTTGTGACAGATGATAGGAGACATTTCAAATCATCTTTAGAAACAAAAATCAAAAAAAAAAAATTTTAGATCTAGAAAGGGAGCGCTCTTAAAAGTAAATAGAATCGATGTCTTTCAATCTTTACTCGCGTAGCCATAATGGAACATAATACAATTTGATCATGACAACACTTTCTTGTTCAATAATTTCTTGAATGAAGTTTTTAGACATTCATTTTAATAACAGATTGCACTATTAGCTATTAAGTCTACGACAGTTGCTCACGAAGAGTATGAATGTGGGTCTTCTCTTCATACACACCTATACTCTGGCTGTTCATGACATAGATATTTTCTAGAGTATTCACATTTCTAAAGAATTTTGAACACTAGAACAATTAAATGAATCGGTTTATGATGATGATTATTCTCTCACGCGAAATTAATTTATCGTATTAATGTATTTCGTTATTTTATTCAAAATGCTTGTGAAAGTTTACATAGCAAGAGAGTGTCTGTGTGAGTAACTGTCCATTTCTCATAGCTACCATAGAAAACAATTTATGAAAAGTAATAGTTCAACTATAACGAAACAGACGACATACATTAGTTGTTTGATATCGTTATTCGTGAATGACGGTTAGTTTCTTTTTTCCCTGTTGACCTTGATTTTGATTCGATATAGGGACAAAAAAATTCATATCTCAAAGTTAGCGATAGAATCACCTTATAGTTTTATATTGAGGCGTCACAACGGAGTGACTACATTGTTTGCCATATATCCAATACGTACTATGTTAAACCTCGATATTACCAGCCATGGATTGACTCTGGACAAGTTACTAACAGTTGTTGCTCTTAGAGTATCTATTCTTGAGCGCAAGGACTTTGCGTTACACTGGACTTCTATGCAGAGCTACAGCTAGTATTAGGTGTAAGAAAGATATCGTGTAAATAAATCTGCTGCTAGACAACGCCTTATGCTACAATATAGGCGAAAGACAGAGATATTCAGCTTCTTCAGTCTTATATTGATGTTAAGCTTCTCCAAGTATTTAAGACTATAATAATCAGCATAATTATGATAATAACCAAGGAACGAAATTCGATATCTATTCTTATCTTTGAAAAAAAATCTCAACAGTATATTAAAAGGATAAAACTCTATATTGAATATCTCGGCAACTATTTCGAACGATAAATATACATAGATCGATGGAATACTTTTTCTATGAATAGATTCTTTGAACTCTGAGATCGTTTTTGACTAACCGAAGTAGATATAAATGAGCAATAGAAAGAAAAACCGTCATTCTTAGTTTTTTTTGCTTTACCTTTCAACTACATCTAACACATAATTCCATCCAAGGTTATTATCCCAAAATTCTTGATTATTGGCTTCTAAACAAATAGCAAAATAAATTTGTTTGGGAACCTTGGTATCATCATCATATTTTTCTAAACGTATTTCAATTGTAAATGTATCTGTATTATCATTTGGGTAAGTCATTGAATGCCATCCTTGAATATCTTGAAATGTTTCCCAATCATTTCCACTTATACGAGCAAAAACACGTTTTTCATAAGTACGATTATGAACACGAACTGTTCCATATGCTATTGAATCTTTTGTATGTAAACATTCAAGCATTACTTGTCGTTCATATATTAATGGAATAATATTTGTTGGAGAAGTAAAATATTTTGAAATTAAACAATATTGTTTTGTTGATTTTTTAGAAGTATTGACAGATGAAGATGAAGATGATCGATTGAGAATATTTGAAAGATCAAAGTGACATGGAGATGAAGACAATAGATTTGATTGACTTTTAGCTAGACGTAATTGTTCAAGTTTTATTCGAATACATTCTTGAATGAGTGAGTTTGCTGATTGATCTGGTGGAGTCATATAACGAATAGATTCCAAATCAAGACCCTAAAAGTAACAAATAAATATAATATCTGATATTTTTACAAACAATATTCATTCCACTCGATCAATTCTTAAACTATGAATAATTCTTTTCTTAATCTTGTTTTAAAAATTCTGAACATTTTTTTAATATCAAATGGTTTCGAAACATCATATATATATTATTATGAATTCAAATTTTAATAAATATTTTTCTCTTATTGAGATAAATATAAAACTACATTCAATGACAATGTTTTGAAAAAAAAATTACTAAACCAATTTATTCAATGAAACTTTTCTAAATTTTTTTTCTGAATTTGATGAATAATTGAAAGTTTTAGAATAAACATATAGATTTGTTTTACTTTAATTTTAAATCAAAACTAAAAGCGAACAGAACAAACTATATAATATCATCTCATGTGATTCAAACCAGACAAAAACTATCCAATAAACCGTCGATAGACTGTTTGCTATAATGTGCACTAGATCAATGGTAAACCGACGATAATTTGACAGCTAAATAATGAGCTATCTCCTGATCACCATTCTATCATGATACTTCGATAGTCGTTCTCCAATCGGCAATCTACTGCAGGTATACTAACAGTAGTACGAATAAATTTGCAACATTGGATGATTCAATCTCAGCTGTTTAGAAAAAGAGGGTCATTAAATTGACATTGAAAGAAGACTGAAGCCATTAGTTAGAAACAGTTCTAATGTTCATTAATGAAACAGCTGTCAGAAATTCTGAAAAATTGAAATATCAAGTGGTTCTGGTGTTCTTTTTTCCTTTCAGTGGGCTCTCATAAAAAGGCTATTTGAGATCAAGCATCAGAACATTTGATATGCTTACATTAAATTTTGATGTTATAACAAGAAAAGAATACAAAAAAAATTTCCAGAACATGTTTCTATGTATTGTACATCTCTGTGACAATAGACTCAAATCATAAGTTCTTCAGATCTGTGCATTTAAACATTAGAAAAAAGAATGATATTTCAAGATTACAATTTAATAAATTTACTACTGGAATGTATCACTTTCTACTTTGAAAAATCAATGAAAACTGAATAATTGTACTTTTGTTGATGATGTCTGTATAGTTTCAGTTTCTATTCAAAATTTCAGGATTTTTATTTTTATTATTACGGATTATTAACTAATAGAAAACTAAAAAAGTCGTCATTCTATCACGATTGATCATGTTGGCAAGTAAATATTTTACAATACATAGGTCTCAAATATAGAAATGTATTTTAGAATTCTGGTCTTTGGAGAGATAAAATATTCGTCAAGGAGAACAACTTTTCTTTTTCATAAATAATAAAAAGGAATGTGAGGACATCTATCTCAATTACATTTCATTAAGAGAAGTGTAGGAAAAGCATATTTAATAAGCTTACCCTATTCTATGAAATTTTTGTTCACCTTGAGCCTACTCTACATTTCTCTCGTCTTAACTTTAGCCATACGCTGTAAGGTAGGATAAGAATATTATTTCCTTGTAAGTCCTACTGTATATTCTTCTCACTCCATCGAGTACTTCTGGTACTCTGACTCAGATTTGTAACCGATCTGGTTCGAACCGGTTGAAATGCTTGCATCGGCCGATTTTCACCGATTTTTACCTGTTGAAAAATATCTTATAGATATATCATTTTTTTCTGATAAAACTTGTTAAGAGTAAGTTTGCTTACTCTTATCAAAATAATCAAATAGTGTTGTTTCGAAAACTACCAGTTATATTTACTTCTGTTCGTCTATACTGTTTTATTTCTTTAATTGAAGTATTTTTTTTTAAAAGCACAATCAAAACTGTGTTACTTGAGCTAAATGTTATTGGCGAAGTTCAAATATAGATTTGGATCGTGGTTCTAAGAGAACCGTTAGGCTTGTCTGAAAAGGTTAAGTGACAATATTGAAGATTTCGAGTTTAGCAATCGGTTGATGGATAAATGACTCTTTTTTTTCGTACTATGTATAGAAATATGACATATTCATCTTTGAGAAACATAGCAGATATTAACAACTATAATATGATATTTTTTCTTAGTGATTTGTAAAAGCCTGAGTGCGCAAAGGGCAATGAATGTTTTTTGAAGCCATTCCTATTAACCGATTAATAATGATCTAACAAATCGGTCAGCTTTTGCTGATTTTCACCGGTTTAAAAGATTTTTTGAACCGGTCGGACTGAGCCAGTTCAAAAACTCCCGACCAGATACAACTCTGCTCTGACTCTATCTTTCCCTGCGCTAACCATAACCTATCTGTGATCTTGCACAGTTCTAATCTCATTTTATATAAATTTTGAATAACTTTTCTTGTATCTTATGTGAAGAGACACTCCTATTATCTACTCATAATATACCCAATACATACCAACACATCGGCGAAACGAACAACTTTTTTTGGTGGTTGTTCCAATAAAGCTGATTTTCTATCGAATAAAGTAATACCCAATGATTTGGAACGTGTACCTATAGTATGTAATGCTTTATCTTTTTCATGATCATCATTTTCAGTATACATTGAAAAACGATCTGGTGAACACAATGTATATGTTGAATCATGTAATAATGATACACATTGTTGTTGTTGTTGTTGTTGTTGTTTTATTTGATTATCTGTTATTGTATCATCATTATTAAATTCAACATTACCATTAAGAGTTGCTGAACTATAAGATTTACGAAGAAATCCTTCTAATCCATTAATTTGTGCATCTGAATTTGAATCACCAAAATCGAGTAATGTTATTGCATCTTAGAATAAAAACAATAGAAAATAGAATTTTATTTTATTTTATTTTATTACCACTATTTTTGTTTGAGATTCGTTGATTATCTTCTTCATTTTGTTCATATTCATCATATTCATCAATTTCATCAAGATTAGCTACTTCAATATCATCATTATCACTAATCTGATCAAAGCCAAGGTTAAAATCAAGATCTTCTGATGATGTTGATGTACCTTCTTCTTGTCCAACATCAGAAAATGTACTACATATACCAGATGATGATGTATTTGAACTCAATATACTACAGTGTCCACCAGGATCGGAAAGACTAGAACCATAGCTGAAACTAAATCGTGATGATGTATCAATAGTAGATGGTGTTGGAGTATTTTCTGAAGAAGAATGCATACGATGTTGATATTGATTATGATTATTGTTCATAGATGAATCTTTGACATAAAATATATCATGTCCATGTGAAGATGTTTTGTGTTGACCAACTAATGGATTATTATTGTTACAATTATGATAATTATTATTAGTATTGGTTGAACACTGTGCCGAACTTTGTAAATATTGCATTACTTTATGGTTACTTGATAAAAATGGAGCGTCAACATCTTTATTACCATTTGTTGCTAGTGTTTTACGAGACATTGATATAGTTTATAGAAATAATCGTTTTAATCTTCTATAAAATCACAATCTAGAACATAGAAATATAAACGTTAGCATCAATAATCAAAAATGATAAATAACCCGACGTGTTGTCAACAATGGCAAAGAGAAAAGAGAAGAAGCTGCACATCTTATACCCGTATCCTTGGAGGGTTTTTGCGTACGTGTTGACCCTTGATAAATAAGTCGGCTGAGATAATAACTGATGATAGGAAGAAAGAGAGAAAATAAAAAAAATCTTCATTCTATTCATTTGAATAAATCTCGCGAAAATGAAGAATAAGAAACCAATTCAATAAACATCTATGACTCATTGATCATTGCTTTTTATTTACTGGTGGATTCTAATCACCAACCGTCGTTATTTCTGAAAATAGTTTAATAATAGGTATCTATTTGGGTTCATGTTACGTATCTCGAAGGGGTGAAATATATTTGCTCTTTTTAGTATTCAAAACGAAATATATACATTTCATTGATGAATGCAGAATAACTATGACAACAGAAAATGACATTAGATCAGAAAATAGCAACAGAAAGGAATAAAAGAAAAGACACACATGTAAACATGTGTATCCATACATGAATCTTTTATAGTTCTCAACTGGCGGTGAAAAAAAACAATTTGATTATTAGATTGTTGTGCTTGATTCTTTTTTTATTCATCTTTTATTTTTTTAAGGTTATCTACCGATTAGAATAGTATATATCAATAGATAAATATATATATATATATATATTTATGGCGAGAGGTAATCATGGTTTTGTATTCTTCATATAAAAAAATTATCTCAAGGTAATGAAACACAGAGTACTTTATTTTTTTGTGATTCAGACTTCTCAAAAAATCTAATATTCATTCAAATATTATTGTCTTCATTTTTCAAAAAATCAAGGAATAATCACATGGAAAATATATTATTTCAAATTCTTTACCATTCAAAACTAATCTTTGAATTTCATCTGTATGTTGATTGTTGACTAATAAACTAAACACATGAAATATTCAAATTAATTATTAAATTATATTCAAATTAAATACCTTCATAAACACTAAAATCCATCGAACAGTGTTCCTTTATTTTGATTGATATATATGTGTGTTACAGATAGAATGTTCTAGAAATTTCTATATGATCACGATGCAGAGACTAAATAACTATCTTCGTCACTCAAAACTTCTAGAGAATTCTCAACACGTCTAAATGCAAAACTTAAAGCCTATATAGGAAGGTATTATCAAATGATATATTCGATAGAATCTCACAGAGAAATATACTAAAATAGTAAATTGTATGAAAAGCAATTAACAATTTTATTGATGTTTGAAAGATAAACTTCAAGAGACACATTTAATTTTAAGTTATGTCTACATAGTATTGACAAGCTAAACTCATTGACATCCCGAATACTTTGTTTTGAATATTTTAAAGCTAAGGAAAAAACAACTGACTTTATCGAACAGTCTATTGGTTGGTTACGTGAAACACAAAATAGAAATTAATCGAAAAAACAAATTATGATTGCTGGTATTAACCATACGCTTCATATATAAATGATAGACGCAGATAGACATGAGACTACCGAAACGAAAAAACATTCAGGTGTACTCATAAAAAAACCTAATTTATATTTTTTATTACGTCTTATATACATCAATATGATAGTTCTGTTGCTATCTCGATGAAACTTTGCTTTTCATCTTATTATTTGTATTAGAATCTAGTTGTTGTCGATGAATCTGAACTCAAGTGATGAATTATTATCTTAAATGCTTCATCAATGATTATAAATTCTTGTCTTTTTTCAAATTAACTAATATTTTATTACAAATCTCATCGGACTTAGACATATATGTTGGAGTAGAAATTAAAATTCAGTAGAATTTAAAATTCTACTAGTAGAGATTAAAATTTCAATTTCTACTAGGAGAAATCGAAATAACAGGCGATTTTAAGTTACACTAGTAGAAGTTAAAATTTTAATTTCTACTATAGGAGAATTTTAAATTCTACTAGAAACTTATACTATAAAATTATGCAAATTTCTCCTAGAATAGAAAATAAAATTAACTCGTAGGTGATCACTAGATTATTTGATTTAATGCCAAAATCCACTTGTAATTCACTAATAGTAACTAATTTAACGTGTTTATTGATTTAGAATTTAAACTGAGCTTCACTCTAACCATCTTTTATTACCAATATGATGCTATTGTAACCAATTTGTGTGATAAGCACTTTAAAAGAAATCTTTTTCTAAAGATTATATATGCTTATCAAATTTCGAATAAAATGGTTCTATTTTATATCATATTGAAGTGTTTTTTCTTTTGATACTGACGCGAGGAGTTCAAATTAAATATCTAAAATCTTTTTTTTTCTTTTCGTTCGACATATTGCATAATTAGAATAAGTATTAATTTTATTTTCTATTCTAGGGGAAATTCGCATAATTTTATAGTATAAGTTTCTAGTAGAATTTAAAATTCTCCTATAGTAGAAATTAAAATTTTAACTTCTACTAGTGCAACTTAAAATCGCCTGTTATTTCGATTTCTCCTAGTAGAAATTGAAATTTTAATCTCTACTAGTAGAATTTTAAATTCTACTGAATTTTAATTTCTACTCCAACATATATATATATACTTATCTATAATACAGCAACACTTAATCACTTACACAGTTATTAATTTTACATAAATTTTCTTAGTACTAATCTGAACGAGATGAAATGAAATACACAAAAAAACGACTACATCTTATGTACAACAACATGATATGTCTTGTAAAGGTAGTAGATATCAGTATAACTTTTACGTGGAAAAGATAATCATTAGTTTCTTTTGTTTTCTCTACATACAATTTCTGGAATATTTCACTATAAAAAAGTTTGATCGAAATGATATGTCAAAAATGTTTCATACAGTAAGATTCTTCTGTTTCATGATTCTTTGAAAAGAAAGATTAAAAAATTTTTTCTATGAGAAAACCTTCAGAAAATGACAAGTGAAACTAATTTTATCAACGAAATACACCAAACAAGATAAATTTACATTGTAAATAACGATATATATTCAAAGAATGAAATGAAAAAGAATTTAAAATATGAAATACTTATCTCATCATATTCTATTCACTCATTTCGTTATCATTATGAAGCTGTTCAAGTTTCTTATACGAATATTTAATATAGAAACACTCATGTAGACTAAGCATACCCTTATTTTACCATTGATAACGTATAATTAAAGACAAGAGCACTTTACAATTGTAATGACTACCATATTTACTGTAACAGATATTTTAAATAGGCTGTTTGCGTATATTCGATAAGCAGAGTTGTAAATAAATTGAATGACAAGTGCACTAAATGATTAAATGCATTTTACTTGTTTTATGTCGCTAACGTTGGAAATGAGATCAAAGTCCATAAGTTAATGATATACAGACGAAATAAAAATATCTATATGTCATAAGATAGAGTCAAGAAAATTGATAGAAATACTTTATGGCAATATCTAAACAATTTTCATCACATTGTATGAACGAGACACTTTCTATAATAATTATGTGTTATATATATATATATATGTAACGATGTAAAAGAAGATAAGACAATATATTAATATCAGCTGTTGTCATCACTGTAGTTTCTATAAGCATCTTGCTAATATGGCCATGAAATAGAATAACATTTTACGTTTTTTATTTTGTCTAATATTCTATCGTTCTCCTACTGATGGCCTAGATATACAGACATGATACGAAAAAAACAAGAATAGACGTAATGACAAACTTCCATATGGAGGCTTATTGAAATTTGATTTATTACTTTGTATTGTATAGACATAGCGAAGCATCATGTTTCGCGAATATCTACATTATACTATGCACTTGCTAATATACAGAATAACTTGACAAAACATTAGATCAAAAAGAAAAATATTATAAGTGTTCAAGGTTATTTGAATATAGAAGAATACTGTTAAATAATTATGATTAATAAGAAAATTAGATTGCAATGATATACATATATATATATATATAGTAATAAAAATTGAATTATTTTAATTTTGTTTGTACTCTACGTTCCGAAAGATCATCGATGTCTCGCAAAGGAGAAGATCTAGCGGCATAGCGAGAGTACAATAATCATTCGCTTTTCCACATCATAGGGAACGCCGACTACCTCCATGATATGAGAAGGAGTGGAGCTGAATGTGGACAGTCATGTAGATTCGAACATAGGTACTAAGTTCATAAACTTTATTATACCATTCGATCAAATTTTTACCAATAGACATAAGAAATCTTCTTACTTTTCGCTTTCCATATTTCAAGTAATTATGTTAAAAAAAACTTATCAATATACAAACTTGTTTTTGTTCGATAACGAAGAATAAAAGAAATATGAAAAACCGAACTAAATAAATAAAATCTTTGAGAATTGTGTCCTTGATTATGACAGACGCGATAAGAAACACATAAAAAAAAGTGTTTGTTTGACCCATTTTATGTAGAACACTATTAATTTTCTTTTATTTACGCATTTCTTTGCTTTCATCATTTTTCATTCTTTACGTACAAATTTGAATGCCAAATTCATGCATAGAATATGTCTATGAATATTATAGACACTCTCATGAGAGCACACGAACAAAATAAAAAACAAATGTCAATAAGTACACTTTTCTCTTCAACATATATTTTGACAAAAAAGTAAGGTACGATAATAAATCAACTACGAGCTTCATAAGGAATATTTTAATTCGATATTAAGACGTTTCTCATCTGTACTTTCCTTCGGCTTGCAGGAATCTTGGATGCTCTTTCCCTTAATTTTCAGTCAAACATACCATAATATAAAATTCATGTCACTGATTATGAATATCTCTTCAGGTTTTATTTAAGCTATTTTAACAAGTGAAGAGACGAGATTAACAACATTTCCATCTTAGGTAAAAAACGAACGACTCT